GTACGCGCGTTTCATTGGAATCATTCCGCTATGTCGGTCTCTCGATTTACGCCCGGCTGTATTTACTCGGCTGCTCCAAACGTGGCCCTACCGAAATAGATTCACTCGCGACGAGGGACCACGTAGGAGAATCGAGCCTCGGCTTCTAATTCCATTATCAAAGACTTTCTTCGTTTGGTCACATAGGGAGTGTCGCGAGAAGAAAATATTCGTTCATTCCGAAAATAAATCGCAATAAATCGAATAATTCAGCAGTTCGAAAGTAAAAAGTTTAATTTAATCGGCAATTAATGCAATTCTTAGATCTGAGAGCCAGGATAATTGAATCACTCCGTTGCGAAGAGCGTTCTCGAGGTTGATTTGGCCAGTGACGAGAGGAAGGTAATCATCTGCGCGAAAAGATGTTTTCGCACGGGCACTCGAGCGTTTCCGGTCACTGGCACGAGCAACAAAGCGACCTGGAAGAGAGTCGTTTTTCTCTTTAGTGTGTCACGGTGCCACTCCTAGCGGTACACCGCATACACACATCGATCCCTCGTTGTTATGCAAAGAACATTTTCTCGTCGACGAATCACCACGGTTTCCTCTTCGATTCCAGCTTACATTTCCCCTCCTGGACATTTCCCATTGTCCACTCTTGTCGATCGATCGATCGTCCGATTTTCGAGAAACGCGAGCAATATATCCGATCGCTTTTTAAACGACGACAGTTCCACTTAAGTTTGATATTTCGCGTGTGTGCATCGAGCCCGTTCGTTGCACTTTTCACGGTTCAACTTCCTCGAACGTAAGGCGTAACGTCCGTTATTCTAAATGTCGTGCCGCATCCTTGCGAGTAACCTACTACTGCTATCGTTCAAATGTGTTGCCGCGCACAATGATCGGTGTCGTATAAAATGATAAATGGGAGAAGTATTTCATAAAGTTTACGAGAGATCGGTTCATCGCTTCGTTGTAAAGTAAATAGTAACGACGAGAAATTAGTTCATCTTCTTTTTTCCGTCCATTTCCTGCTTCCCGTGCATCACAATGACCCTTGTCCCAACGAGAAAATTATAAACCAAACACCTATTTAAATATTGTTTCTACACGCGTGACAAAGCCGTCAATTCGAAACCAAGAGGTAAACGAACTTAATGTAATATTTCGGAATTTCTTTTTCCCTTGAACCTCGATCCCCTATGAACGGGGAGGTCGATCCAATGCAAATGGCCGATTTGCATACGAACTTTCGAATTATTCGCATCGTATGCGGCGCAACATCGTCCCGTGTACGAACATCTAATTGAATATTTTATATCAGGACAACGCGTCGGTTAATATCTTGTAAGTGGCCGCGACTCGACCACAATGATTCCACTTCGCGACGAAAGACAATGCATACTAAACGCGTCGTAGGTAGCTGTAACCAGCGTGTTGTAACATGGCTGCTAGTCGTCGACGAGCGGAATGCGGCGCGCAGAGACGATTTCAAAGTCATTCTCCCGTTGGCATTGTTCCTGCATTGTTTTTTCCACGCGAGAAACTCGCTCTTTCCTGGAACACGTCCCCCCTCTTTCGATCAAAGATCGCGTGGGCGGTGTCCAAGGATCCCAAAAGAAATGTTCTCTCTCGATCGGCGAGAGAGCGGCGCAGGGAGGCTCGCAACGAGTGCTAAAATTCGCGAAATATTTATAGACCGCAGCTGCACACACTTGGCCTCCTCCCCTCGGTCGGGCGCCACCACGCACGTTGCGTCCAGCCATCCTCGTTGCAACGTAACGGTGCGTGAAAACTGCGTCGGGTCAACGCTGCAGATCATCCCATTAACGGTACACCCGCGACGTCCTTTGAATTCGTCGCGCGCCTCGCGATGCCTCTCTCGCATAGAAAAGACTCTCGACTAGGTATCTTGGATGGCCGATGAGAAAGGATAGGAGAGAACTCTGGGACCACGACGAAATCACCCACCCCCTTGTTTGGAATGATTCCAAACGCAGATGACTTCGGTCGAATCGAATCTCGAAGGAAGATCGATTTTCTTAAAAATGTCCTACGAAATATAATTTTCGGTTGCAGAAATTTTTTCGTAGGGCGCAAGTTTGCAAGAACGGAAAGAAAGGTGGTCGACATCGGTGTATATCGTTCTAGGCCGCAGCTGCGTTCTAGTCGTTTCTTTCAACGATGGGAAGAAACTTCTTTGGTGTATACACGCACCAAAAATGCTGGTAGACGGCGTAAAAAAATGGATCGAACAAGGTCCGGCTGTCACGCACTCGAAGAATTTGAGAACGACGCGCTGCTACCGGGAATTCAATTCACACCCTCGACGAGGAATGACACACGCACCCCGTCCGAGATTTCGCCCCGTCCACCATGTGGTCGTCCTAATAACCGCTTTAAACGATGTTCGGTCGGAGGAGTGGCACGGATTTTCGGGATTTCGAGTCGTTAAATCGAGCGGGACACGGAGCGGAACAGCTGTGAAAATTTGTTTTTCAGCGACACGTGTGTATCTCTACGTCGTGCGTGTTTCCCCGCCAGCAGCACCAGCACCAGCACCAGCAGAAACGGACCGGTTTTCACTGAGTTTCGAGAGGCGGCGAGGGATGAAACCCTTGAGCCAGCCGACAACCCTTGTCGATGTCTTCTTCCCGTGTACGAGGGGTTGTGTCCCTGACTCGCTATTCTCTCTCTCTCTCTCCATCTCTTTATCTCGCTGCCTCTTTGTCTTTTTTTCTCTCCTTCCTTCTTTCCGCCTTTCTGCTCGTGCGAAAGAATGGGCGCAAAGGAGGGAGGGAGGGACACGGGAGTGCAAAGTCCGGGACAAATATCTTCGACTGCTCGTGCGTTCGCGAGTGTGAGTGGAGACGTGTTTGCGAAAACCTTGTGTTCCCGAAGGTTCGTTGCAACTACTGCTTCTTCTCGGGTGGAGAGACGTTCGCGCGCGCGCGAATCGAAGGGAAAGAAAAGAAGAGGCCCGGCCCACTCGACGAGCGAAGAGGAAGAGGGAGGCGTGTGTGTGTGCTCGAATTGTGCCGTGGACTTCCGTAGAAACAAACGTACGAGGAAGTCTTTTGAAGCGTGGCAAGACGCACTCCTCCTCCGGGACCCTTTCATGTCGCGCCCCGCCAGATTTTATCTTCGCAACAGTTACCACGGACACTCGAGGGAGCTCGTAATTAGTGGATCGTGACGGCAATACCTTGACTCTCGGCAATTAGAGGGGTCTTCGACATTGCGGGGAATAATAGCATTCCGATTCCGAGGAGGGAGTGACAGGAGAGTACAGGAGGTGGGAGACGAATCGATCTGTTTCTCGCTGAATCTCACCCATCCGAATTCCGATTTACGGATGCATTGTAACGAAAGATCGCTTTTTATTTTTACCTCTTAACGATCGAGTTATCAGAATTTTGATTCATAAATAAATTTCGTCGTGACGAAAGTTTGAGAATGCAATTGAATCGAGTGACAGGAGATCGAAAGTATAGGGAGACGAATCGATCTATTTCTCGCTGAATTCACCCATCCAAATTCCGATTTTACGAATGCATTGTAACGGGTATCGCTTTCTTTTGTCTTTTAACGATCGAATTATCCGAATTTCGATTCATAGACGAATTTCGTCGTGACGAAAGTTTGAGAATGGAATTGAATCGAATAAAAGGAAATCGAGAATACAGGGGGATGAATCGATCTATTTCTCGCTGAATTCATCCAAATTCCGATTTTACGAATGCATTGTAACGAAAGATCGGGTATCGCTTTCTTTTGTTTTTTAATGATCGAATTATCCGAATTTCGATTCATAGACGAATTTCGTCGTGACGAAAGTTTGAGAAAGCAATTGAGTCGGTCGAATCGAGTGACAGGTGAATCTCATCCATCCAAATTTCGATTTTACGGATACATTGTAACGAAAGATCGGGTATCTAGGATTGGAACCGAGACGATTGATTTACTTCTAATCTTCTATTGAACTGTTCGCTTCTTACTTTCGCCTCTTAACGATTCGAATTTCGATTCATAGACAAATTTCGTCGTGACGAAAGTTTGAGAATGGGATTGAGTCGATCGAATTCAGATGCCCAAATTTCGATTCTACGATTCATTTATAATAGGAAAATAGGAAGCGTTGCATAATCGTGTATTCAAGAATCGTAGAATATTCCAAGCGTTGAATCTTAGAAATAAACCGATAACCGGTTTCTACGTTAATTCCATATGGCGATAACAGGACGCATGGTACGACTACGACCACGTGGTTATAAAGCCCGATAATATATGTGTGTGTGTGTGTGTGTGTGTGTGTGTGTGTAAATCATCGAACGAGGCCCGGATAGGAAGCGTCGTGAAACTCTGACGCACATGTCCCGGATACGGGGTCCGGGTGGAAAGAAAAACACTGCCCACCGTGCCAAAGTATCGTGACGAGGATGAGGGTTTAAGACTGCGGTCGGAGACTTGGGAAGTCGTACATTTGCAACCGCAAGAGAAATTAAATCTATGGAGTTATTGCGTGGAATGTACAAAGTCGTCCCTGGTAAGGCTAGACTTACTACTATCTTCGATGAAAAAGTACAAAGATAAAGTTATGGCGTAACGAGACAAATTCGTTTCAATTTCTCCTTTCGATTCGGATCAAATCTCGAATAACTTGCCCTTCACGGTCTATCTCGATAGAGATCAATTCGAGAGATAAGTTGCTCCATCCTACACATCGTTTCGTGTCCCCAACGCATCCGGATAATAACCCCTGTCCCTTGATACGTTTCTCTCCAACGACGAATTAGGGATGTTTTCGGTTTCCGGAATCGCGAAACGGTCAAAGGGGGCCGACGATGAAGGGAATAAACACGCGTGTCCACGATTGCTGTCTCGTTGGATCTCCATTGGTAAATTGATGGTTGGCTTACCTCCCTTTAAGAAGCATTAAACAATCAATCGTGTCCATGGAATCGACACGATAAGAACGATAACATTTTTTCAATATTCCATTTCGTTCTCTGTGTACGCAGACATCGCCATGGACTGGTCGGATCACGCGTTATGGTGGCCGGAGAGAAATCACTGGTTGACGAGAACGAGAAGCACTCTGGACCAGTATGGGGTCGCCGCCGATGCCCTCCTGCACTTCACACCGATGCACAAGACTCTGAGAGTCCAACTGCCCGATATGCGCTGCCTCGATTGCAAAGTCGACTTCTCTGTGAAAACGTTCAACGCCGTGATTAATTTATGCAAGGAATTAGGTGAGCCGATCTTTTCTCCTTGAAGATTTATATTACGAATATTAAACGAACTCGATTCATTTTGAATTCCATCAGGCGATTAACGCGAATCAGGATTAAAAACCAGGCGGTTAATTCGCACGAGACGACTGAGTGCTAATTAGTCCCGATAATGAAATAAAATTGTTAAATTCGCAGTCACGCGAAGGTCACGGGGAGTCTTCGTGCGAGTCAAGTCGAGCGTGGCTATTCTAACGGCCAGCTTTTTTAATCAAGGAAGTGGTTCGCCGCGATAATGAAGGCATTGTATCGCGTCGCCTTGCTTTAATAACTTAGAAAAATATATTTTTGTTGAGAATATATTTTTTCGTAATCGAGTAGCGCGATCTGGAAAGGGATAATTAATCACGATTTCGCGATGTAATCAACTTATTATTATGTATCATAAAAAGAAGAAGGAAAAAAATTATGACGAAGAAATTTCAAACGCGTCGAGTTAATTTATTTGCGTTGATGTAACCGTTATTACGTCTCCTTACTTGTTTTTTGTCCATACTGTCGCGGACAGATGACCTCGTCGATAGCCTGACTCGTGTCATACTCGTAAATAGACATGGTAACGAACAACCATTTAGTTATTTCCTTGGAACAAACAAATTACCGTGAAAAAAATACAAAAAGAAAAAAAAAATGCATATAATTTCATCAAACCGTGCATTATATAGCGAAACAGTATATTCGAATGATTAACCGGTAGAAAATATAAAACGAAATTCTTTATCGTGAAAAATTCAGGTATCAGACATCCAGAGGAGTTGTCATTCTGCAAACCGCTCGAGCCGAATCATCTGAAATACAATTTGAAAGATCTGCCGGCCAAGAAGAAGATCGAGAACCAGAAGAACGGGCATTGGAACGTTCCAGCGGATACGAACACGTTCATCCCGGTGAGCCAAAGTCCCAGGGGATCGACGGGTAGCCTGGATCAGAGCAGCCCTTTCATGTGCGCGCCGGTCACACCCAACAACAGAAATCACAGCACGCCGATCAGCTCCCCCGTCTCGGTGAGTACCACGACGAATCTCTCTCTAGACTTAAACGCACTGTCGTGGATCTAAATTCGGATCCAAAGATAGAGGAGAAGATAGGATCGAAAGTATCTAGAGAGAGCCGGACCTGTTATGGTAATAAATAATCCCCCGACCGACCCGATTGCCGTGGCTATGATTTATCGATATTGGCCTATCATTACCGCTTACGGAATCGTTCAGAAAACTAATTTGCTTCTCGCGAGCGGCTCGTTTTTCCAACCGACGGTTGGGAATTGGTGGCCATTATGGTGTATTTATTGCTCGGTTACGAGCACAATCTTGTTGGCCGAACGCGGACTCACGTTTGATTGGGTTTCTTCCAGCAAACCGGTACCTGGAAGAGGAACAACAACTCGTCGGGTTTCGGTAGCACCGGCTCATTCAACGCAAACAACAGTACCATGAGTCTAGAAGTGTTGAACGGTGGACTGTCCGAGTCGTTGGCCCAGAGTCCTGCCACGATCTCGCCGGAGGTGAGGGCAAAGTTGATCAGGCCGAAGAATCTTGTTGAGCGCGCAAGAATGAACGTTGCCTGGCTCGATTCGTCGTTGTCGATCATGGAGCAGGGAATACGCGAATTCGACACCCTCAGGTTGAAGTTCAAGTTCTATTCGTTCTACGACCTGAACCCGAAAACCGACGCTGTCAGGATCAACATGATTTACGAGCAGGCCAAATGGCAGCTGCTCGCCGAGGAGATCGACTGCACCGAGGAGGAGATGCTCATGTTCGCTGCGTTGCAGGTATATTACATATCCCTCATACAGATATAACAATATTCCATTAACCCTTTCCGGTTGCTGGGATTCGCGCGGTACCACGCTAGGATGGGCCAGCTGCGCGACTGTTTACGCGGCTAAAGTTTTCACGATCCAAACATCCGGCCCTCGTCGACCGGATCGATCTATATATACGTCCAGAATACGTCTCGGTGAAACGATGGAACGGAAATAGTTGGCGATGACACGAGAGCTCGCAGCTTCAGGACTCGTTCCTGAAATTGAGGAAAGAATCGGGTTATCGAGATAAAAAAAAAAAAAAATAAAAATAAAAATAAAAAAAAACGATAGAAAGTAAACTTGCGACGGAGCATGCTTGATCGCATGGAAGTTGGCCAATTAAAGACATTCTACGCCCCTACGATAAATCGCCTCCGCGCACAGTTTATTTCTCGTATGCAAATCTCGTTTCCTTAAATCGAATCGAGAAAACATTCGCGTCGTTTTTCCGATACACCGCCTACCGGTTTCTCGATTAATCGCGTCACGGTTATCGGATAAAAAAAAAAAAAAAAA